ACGTCTACGTTTGATGGAGTGCGAATATCTCGCGCTTCGCTATGAGCGCGCACGCGATCCCAATATTTCGCTTAAGCTCTGCAAATGGACTAAATTACGCTGAACGCAATTTGGTTCACAAATCCGCAGAGCGAGAGAGAAGAAAGAAAAAATCTGACGTTACGCTGAGGCGGGCCGGTTAGTTTCGCACGATGTGTCTCGAGTGGAATTCGAGATTCGGGTATGGGGATTCATGAGCGTGTTCGCATCAAACAAAAAAACTATTATGTTATCTCCTCATCGTATCTCGTTCTTACCTCGTCATACTCTGGTGATAATAATTCTGAGCGTATGTAGATACTTGCGTGTCGTTGTTCGCTTTGAAATGCAAACAATGAGGTGTGAAGCCTTTTGAAAATATTTATGAGCACGTGAGCGATTGAGAAGAGACAGTTGAGTCGGTAATTTTAAAATCGGTTGATTGTCGAGTCTTTTGCGAATAGGAATATGAATATAGGGTTTAACCGTTGTCATGTAAAATGATGGTTTTACGATATTTACACACTGCTAGCGTAAAGATGTGATATGTAAATGTATTGAAATGTAGTTAGTCTGGTTAGTAGACTAGTTGTTGGTGGTTAGCACTGATTCATTCAGTGGTAAGGATCAGTGTCCGTACGTCCTGCACGCAATACCAGCAAACAATTGCGAGAGAAATCGTGAAATGGCGATTCGTGAGCATTTTAAACGCTCATTTGTATTTATTACTCATTGTTTTCCAAATTTAGTGCTAACGATATGTGAAAATATGGCTTGAAAATTGTGCTGCAACATCGAATATTTTCATGTAGAGTTGCTTACATACATGCGAATACCGGTTCCAGTGCAAAAGCTCCACTCCCTATAATTATGTTGTGTTGACATCGCGTGTCTAATCTCACTATCTCGGTAGAGTGGTCAGGGCAGCTAATAATTATTTATTTAACCATTCGCCAGTTGAATATCTTCATAGAGAGTCATTATGCACATGTCTTCACTGGTTCGTGCGCCAAAACCTGACGCGTGTTGTTTGTTTCCTCAATGTCTCGTTTCGCGTTACGCGCAGCGAATGATTTGTACAGCCGCCACTAGATGGCGGGACAAGGCAGAAGTCTGTTGGATTTAGTTCCAGAGGAGACGGTACCTGACGGTACATAGACCGTATGAGTTGGTGTGAAGATCAACGGTTTCACTTAGTATCATGCGTGTGATTTAACACAGTGTTTGAGCCAAAAGCTGAAGAAGGCCGGCAACAGTAGCCTTCGTATGCCCTCGATATGCCCTCGTTGAATGTTCATTGATATTACTCTAGGTTACTTTGCGTCATGAAACGGGTTTCGTCATTTTTCGTGACAATACATTGCCGTATATAGATGTCTAGACCGCAGAAATAAATAGATTTGATTTTGTGGAAAATTGTTGAGTCACGGTTGATGCCATTGTGCGAACTCTAGTATTCTGTCTGCGTAAGGCAGCACCCTGCTCATTTGTGCGAGAACATCGTGTCATATTGCCGCCAAATGTTTCCCTCTGAAGGGCATAGAACGTAGGAACTACATAGGAACCTTCCGTAGGAAGACGGCCACTGAACTACATTGACTGCATTGCAAGGGATATCCAGCATGACATAGCGGACATGCAGACACTGATGATGGACAACATTAATATTCATGGCGTGGCATTGTGAACTCTATCTCGGATGCGTCCGCTGAGTAGTAGAAGGGCATAGATTGAATATGTGCTCATTTCGCATGAATAAAGTGTCCGTTTCGTATATGAACTGAAATCTTTCAAGTATTTTTGACTAAATGGTTGTGTCGTGCTTATTCGGGGCTGTTGCCTATAGACGCCATCTGCTGGTGAATTCCAGGGAACGACTTAGAGGGTCGCAAATACACGGGTTATCATCTACTTTATAAAAAAATGTTTCTAAATAAGTTTATTAAAATATTAAATTATTATAGTTAATAAGTTTTCTATAATAAAAAAAAATCGGCTTATGGGCAGTTAAGGAGACACGCACGCATCCACACACACGCACGCACACACGCACACGCACGCACACACACACACGCACACACGCACACACGCACACACGCACACACGCACACACGCACACACACCACACACACACACACACACACACACACACACACACACACACACACACCCATACACAACACGGCTCGAGCGCGCATACACACACACACACATACAACTGCCACACACACACACTCGCGCGCGCACAGCATCCACACACGCACAACGCACGCGGCGCAACACACGCACACACACACACACACACACACACACACACAACACAGCACACACACTCATACACACACACGCGAGCGCGCATACACACACAACACAATACATACACACGCACGACACACACACACTCCGCGCGCGCACACGCAGGCACACAACACACAACACACACACACACACACACACAACAACACACAATATAATATAAGCAATTAACTTTGCGATGTTTCTGTCAACGGTTTACGAGTGGAAGTTAATGTTAAGACTAATGTTAAGACTAATTTTGCTTCTGAAAACGGGCCCCTGGGCACTAGCAGACTCTTCCTCGATGTTGTGGTACTAATGGCCTGGGGCCCGTTGTCAGAAACAAAATTAGTCTTAACATTAACTTCCACTCGTTAACCGTTGACAGAACATCGTAATGTTACGAGAACGAAAAATCCTCGCAAATACCCTCTAAACATTACAAGAGCCCAGACCCTTTCGTAACTTTAATATTAAGCTGAAAATAACACATTTACACTACGAATTACAATTATAGTGATATTATATTTTATAATAATGAATAAAATGTGTTTTTTTTGAAAAACACGTCAAAATCATTAATTGTCTACCGATTATAAAACACAACAATACATTTACAAATGGCGTATGGCATTTGTTCTCTTGTTTTAACTACTTTGCCACTTTGCCGCGATTCTCGCATCTCGTGTAACAGTGTGAGAATTTGTCTTGTTGTGCAGAATAAATTAATGACCACGTCGTTTTTCATTAAATATTATTTACATGTGGTTAGCCATCATATTATGCATAAATAACTGTGATGTACAATAAATGTGTATGAATTTGAATTTTG